GCGGCGGCTGCGGCTGCGGCGGCTGCGGCTGCGGCGGCTGCGGCTGCTGCGGCGGCTGCGGCTGCTGCGGCTGCTGCGGCTGCTGCTGCTGCGGCTGCTGCGGCTGCTGCTGCTGCTGCTGCTGCTGCTGCTGCTGCAATCGTCGACGTGGTTGCTGTTGTTGCTGTTGTTGCCGTTATTGCTGTTGTTGGTGTTGTTTCTAGTGGCAAAGTGACAGTTTGGACTTCTTTTGGGCCAATGGTTTCCGAGCGTTTTGTTTCTCATCAGCAAGCATATGGCCATGGGTCAAAATTCCGTACCCCCAGTGAACATCCCAATCCCCACTCAAATAGACCAAATTGGGTGGTGCACCTACCCCAAAATGGTACCGTTGGTTTTGATCCACAGCCATATAGCCTTGTCCTTTCTGGGTTACTTTTTCAAGCTATTGCAGCACTGTTCCCTTTCAACCAGAAAGTGTTACAGCTTCCAGAAGGGGGGGGATCCGTTCCCAGAAAATGAAGGTCTGGGTTCCCGTCGCCGGAGTTTCCTGAGGCCGTGTGCGTCGCTGTACGTGGCGCCTTTGGTGCCGCCGCCACCGGAGCAGCTGGGGCTCTGCGGCAGCTGCGGGGCGATGGAGGTGAACGGCTGGGAGTCGGAAGAGGCGCGGCTTTGTTAGTGGTACTTCTGTCTGAGGGTGCTTTTTGGTCCTTGATTTTCATCAGATCAATCGGAGACCAACAGGAAACCAGCATTGCCTGGGGTTCAAATCCGCATTTTGATTGATTCATGTTGACATATGCATGTATATAAGTATATTAATATATATATATATACATATTCATATCTCAATATATATATATATAGAGATACATATATACAGTGGGCCGGTAGCAGGGTTCCCCTTTCCGATTTCGGAATGATAGTGAGTTGCACAGATGGATGGATGGATGGATGGATGGATGGCAGAAGGCTTTGAGCACCATCCAAAGTCCACCATCCAAAGTCCACCATCCACGGTCGGTGGTTTGGGCAACCACTGTACTCTGTGAGAACTTCAACCATGGAGCCAGACCTGTCCAAAGTTTTGCCCACCCTTTCCAGTCTTTTTGGAACCTAGATGGCGCAGTAAAACACAGAACCAATCTGCAGCCAGGCTACCCCCTCTATTTTCAATCACACTCACCTAAAAGAACACCTATGCCCCAAACACGTTCTTTTTGTCAACCGGCTCCAACAGAAAGAAAGGATCCGGTTTGTCTTCCGCTTTTTGGGCCATGTTGTTGACAATTTCTTGGGGTGTTGTTTTTGCATGGACTGAGATGTCCCCACGAACACCGGATGTCCGCAATGTCCCATGTCTGAGGGAAGCACACAATTTGACTCCTCATATGTGCCATGGTCAAAAGACCCGGGCAAGGAGAGAAGTCTCTTTGAGCCAGGGGCATAGCCTTTGGTGTGTTTTGTCATTGCAATTCCCCACCCCTTTGATTTATATGACGAAAGACGAGCGTGTGGTGTTTGGGTTTAAGGCAACCAATGTAAGGTCCTATGAAGCGCATGGCCCACAGGAGTTTGACAATGGCTCACATGTCATTTATCTCTCATCTCGGTGTGGCCGCAGTTGCAAAACTTACTAGAGCCGCTCCTTAACATCTGCTTCGCAGTTTGGGTCCAAGCGCACTTGGACATGGTGCATCCGCACCACGGTATGATACAGAGGATCCCAAATTGGTGATGTCAGATGAATCTCCGGTTGAGCAAAACCGGTCCCTAAAATGGTGTCCATATATTTTTGGGAAGATTGCACCTCCTGTTCAAGTCACAGATTTGAAGTACTACTCTGGCTGGGGTTCTCATTAATTTCGGTTTGGATCCAAATGAGGACCTTCCCCTAGCCCGAACAGCACGATTTCCTTTTGGTACCCTCAAACAACCGCATCCTTTTAATCTCCTGGGCAGATCCCAACAGCGCATTTGGGCGCTTCCTCCAACTTTGTTGGGTGTGTTAGTGGGAGCTGGGGTACGACTCTCAGCCTGAGGCCATTTTCTTCTGCGAAGATTGCTGGGCTCAGTGGCTGGCGAGCCAAGTTCAGGTGAACATGGCACAAGTCACAGGGACCGTGGCCTGGCAGATGATGGGGGGTGACCAGAGCTCTCTCTCTCTCTCTCTCTCGCTCTCTCTCTCTCTCTCTCTCTCTCTCTCCGTGTCAATCTGTTCGAGTTGAGGAGGCAATGCCTCTCGTGTCCCAATCTTCGACTCATAAGGCCTCCGACTTGGATCCTGACGCCGGCTGGGCGCTGGTGCCGGAGCTGGCACCGACGGCTTCCGCGGTCGCCGCGGCCGCGGCTCCGGACCGAGGGCCGCGGAAGGGCGCGCGCTGGGCGGTGCGGGGGAACCGCAGTGACAAGCTGGCGGGGGGCTAGGGCTCCACCCTGCCCCAAGCTCAGGAACCCCCCACAACCACTACCACTCCCTTTCTCAACAAGTCCGTAAATAAAGTTAGTATTTGGAATGGTTCCGAAAATTCAGGTGCGCAACCTTGTACAGGCACTCGATACCTGGATGTTTTCCCACGCGGATTCCGCTCAGACCGCTTTTCGGCGCTGTGCTCGCCCCCACTGAGCGGTTGCGCGGTCAAAAAGAGGTCAGTGGATTCATGCTCAAATTTCGTAGTGGATGTCACAGTGCAAACCGTGCGCAATTGTCCACATGTGCTTTACGCACAGTGCAGCTCCCGTCCATAAAGGTTACAGCGTTCATCATCATCATCAAGTCAAATCAATGAAGGCAATTGTGCTCATTCTTTCAGCTGTCTTGCCCGATCCTTGATTGGAGTTAAGCATCGTAGCTCCTAAGTCTGTTTCGCTCATTTTGAGCCAGAACGTCTCATTGCACGGCCCTGTCCCATGCCCAGAATTGAGGACATACAGCAAAACTGTTTTGTTCTGCCGTAATGCGCCTACTATTCTTTGAGCTTGAAGAGTTCGTTCTTTTTAGAGGAGAACCCTCTCAGAAAGCACACAGTTTTCTTTGCGGGGGGCACCTGTGGTGAGACAATCTTTGTGCCACGGTCAAACCACCCTTTCATTTGGGTTGGCCGGAATCGTCAGGCACAAGTATGACATATGAGGCAAGGACGGCTTGAGCTTCGTTCATGCCGCTGCATTTCTCTGTTCTGCCTGTCCATCAAGCTGGCGAGCAAAGACGCATCAACACCAGGATTCCGGTATGTGGGCATTTCTCGAAATTAGGGACCCCCCAAGAACGGGTGGTTGTCTTTTGGTTTCCCTTTGAAATCATCCAGACAGGCGCCCTGATTTTGAGACAGACTCATGTTACCTTTGAACATTGTGTCAAAGGTGGGACAGGGTTAGGATGCCTAAGCTCAGGAAGCAGAAGGGAGGTGTCCTTGATTCGTTTGGGGTCGGCATGAGCTCGAATAAATGAAGCACCAAGTCTCAACAATAACTATTGGCTTGCACGTGAGTCTACAAAGTTCTTTAAACAACTGGTGGTTTACGCATTTTCAAGCATTATTGGATTGAAACATGTTGTAAACACGGCTTGAATCTCCCAGCCCTCTCGCATGGAGCCGGTGCTGGAATGGCGGCAGGGCGGCCTGGCAGCTTCTCGGCAGCCATTCCCTGTTGTTTTGTCTCGCCCAGCTGGGATCTATCCCTGAGAAGCTCATGCGAAGCCTGCCAGCACCCCCCACCAACTGCTTTTGGGAGAGTGCTTTGGGCTTTGGACAAGGGAAAAAGCAGTTGGTTGGGGGGGTGCTGGTAGGAAGCGTTTCTTGTTCTTCGTACATTCCGGGTCCCTTGAACTGCCCCTACCTTCATTTTGGGGCAGCCCCTCGGCCAAGGGGACCCCAAACAGGTTTTGGTTTTCATCGCCAGAAAACGAAGCAAAGTGTTTGTTGATAGCACCCTGAACAGTCACCGACCCTTGAAAAGGTGGCAATGGCATCTCCCAAAGGTAAAGTGACGAGCGGATGCCCCCTAAAGCAGGTAAACCAACCACACTCAACACCCCCAAAAAAGCAACGGAACCAACCATACTCATCGTTAAACCACGGTAAAAGGCGGTGAATTCGAGCATCGGTTTCCTCGTTCCCTTGCTGTTCTTTTGGTGCGGGCTCGGGGTTGCAAGAGAGGTGTGCTCCAAGCCAGCGGCTATGTCGCCGGAGAAGCTGCTGCAGCTTGGCAAAATCAAATGAGCGAAACGGTTGGACCCAAATGGGTGTTGCTTGGAGGGTGCTTGTACCAGGGCACCGACCCCATTTTATTTGACACACACCCAAATGGGAAACTAATGGCTGCAATCCAGCACACCCAGAGCTCCCTTGTTATTTGCAGGCAACAAATGAGACCCTGGGTTTACGCAATTGAGGTTTGGCCAAAAAACGTCCATGGTCCACTTGGTAGTGGGAGACATGGACATTCGGGAAGGAGCTCCAAATTTCAAGCACAAACATTGGACGGGCCCCCTTGTCCTGTGTCTGACCATGCCTTACATGGACCCGACGCGCTTCGGTCTCCCATTTGTTTGCGTTAAAACGCAAAAACAACAACAACACCTGTTCACAAATATCACACCCAAGTTCAAGAGGGGTTTGTTAGAAGCACTAATCCAAATATGCTCTATATATATATATACACGAAGCCACCCTTGTTTCACGAGATCAAGCTGACCAACTCGCAGTCCTAACCAAGTAATATACTAAGTAATTTACTCTTGATTCGGCTCACTATCTAACTACCTGATAAACAAATCAACTAGATAGCCAACGATGCAACCAGTTGGCTACCTAACCTTTCTATCTCGTTAGGGGACTAACTACTCTTGAACTAGCTAACTACTGCTGGGGAACAAGGGAAGCCCCGTCACTGACCATGCTTTGTGGTTTGCTTGCTTTGATATTTAGGAAATCTGACATATATATATATATGCCGATTCAAATGGTTTGTAACTGCTTTACTTGCTTTTATGTTCCACATCGCTACCATATCGGCCAAGCGCAGCTCAATTCCGGATTCGTATTAAGCTTTGTATGTTGCCACGCGGCCTTTTCAAAACCTCGAAAGTGTTTGGTGCACATGAATCCCCAAAAAGATGTCCACCAAGACATCCCCTAAAACTCACATTTTGCCAGGGCCTGGGCCTCCACCCTCGGGGCCGGATGGGAGCTGCGCAGTTGCTGCAGCTCCAGTGGCGGGTTGGCACTGCTGGCCGATAAGGCACAGGGCCTTTTCAGTGGATCCCCGCCTCACCCCACCCCTCTCCACCCCATTTTTCCAAATCTCTCCCATTTTTCCAATTCTTGTGTGAAAAGATGGTAAATGTACACAAGGACGAACTCCTGCGGTCTGCTTTTTTTTTTTTTTTTGTTTGACTCATACCCACATCTTTGGTGGCTTCAAACGTCCAACGGCATCCTGGAAAGAAGTCGCTCGCTCGAAAGTAGGTTCAGCTCAAGATTTGCCAGTTTCTGCACACCTTTTGTTTTTGCTTTTTTTTGTTAGCAAGAAGTCTCTCTCTAACATACGTAGATGGCACGGTTCTCTCTAGAGCCATCATGTTGCGGGTTTCATGTTAATCTGCAGGGGAGTACTTACACCCAACTGCAGTTCGTCGACAACAGGAGTTGCAACAGCAAACGAAACGCGAATCCATGCAGTAATATATGGATTGCGCTAGTACATGAAGCGTGGACTCTGCCAATTTTATGGCGCTTGGGGGGTAAACCAGCTCACCTGGTCGCTTGCTTTGGGCTCCCTGTCAGGTTTTGAAATTGTAAAGTTTTCGCATTATGTTCACTGGATTTTCGCAGGGACCACCAGAAGGTCTCCAAGAAACACAGTCCAAAGTGTTCGGTTGAAGTGTTCTGCAGCCGGGTTCAATAAAACAGAAGAGACACAACCAAACAGAAGAGACACAACCAATCTTGCTGGTTCTCAGCAGAGAATGAGGGAATGACCCCTATAAACCATCCCCTACGGTTTTTTGTAGGACAATTCCCAGGTTCATTCCCAACACTCTCGGTCGTTCCCTACCTTTTGCACAGCAAGCAATGGGTGGACAGGCCGTGCCGACTCCAAAGGTGCGTGGCACCTACGTGCGGGCCCCCAGCTTTTCGAGCGAGAGGAGGCTTGGCGGATTTTTCCGTTTCCATTTGTTTCGTTGAAGAATTATTCTTGGAAAGGCAAAGGCAAACCCTTGGTGTAAAATGGATGGCTTTCTTAGCCACGCAGCTTGCGTAGGAGGGCTCCTCGTTAAGCAACGGCAGTCAAGAGAAAACTTTGAGGCAACAGGCAACAATCCTGTGTACCTATAGTGGCTTATCTGGATCTGGCTTGTTTGTTGCCCAATCAGCTGGTGCCTATGTCGTACCAGTCCACGGGAGTGCATGTGGCTCTACCTGAAAAGTGGTGGACATGAGTCCCCTAAATGATGTCCACCAAAGGGTTCCCTAAGAATTTCCTCTCGAGTGTCCAACCCTGGCCCTCCAGGCTTTGCTGGTGGTGCCGCAGGAGACCAAAGAGGATCCCTTCGGCTTCATGAAGGATGCGCAAGACGGGTCGCGGTGCCGTGTGAGGTGAAGTTGGGATGACCCCAAACTGAACCAGCCACCAGTTGGTCCCAACAATCAAAAGGTACATGCCCATAACCCTCAAACGATTCCCTATTAAATGTCTTTTTGATTTCCCAACACCTCGGTTTCAGTCATCGGATGCTCGCTTGTTATCATCGTGGGTTTGGGTTCCTTTCCCACCAACAGCGACAGCTGTGCCAAGGTTTTGGTACCCCTAGGGCGGGTTCGGGGAGCTTTCAAAGAGCCCTGTCATTCCTCATGGCGGCTTGCAACAAAGTCCCAACCTGCTTTGTTCCTTGCACCTGGGTCGTACCCTTGATGTCGTACCCATCTAAAAATGAGGATTTGTTGGCGGACTTAGTCTTACAGAAAGACTGAATGGGTGGTATGATTTGGGGTACGACCGTAAAATCACTATGTTTCGCTGGACCACCCAGCTCGCGTTGATCTATGGTCCATTTAGGAGAAAGGGACATGGAAAACTCACTAAATTCTCACACAAACGCAGGGAACGAGCGCACATTTCCCATGAGAACATGAACATTTGGGTCTTTCGCCAAATTTAACTACGAACAGGGGTCCACCATGAGAACCCCCCTCCAACCCCATTGTGACCCTGGCTCAGTTTTGACCGACGGATTTTGTCCGCCTTTCAGGATGCATTGGAGTTCTTTGGGGGGCCCGAAGAGGAGGCCCGCGTGGTGGAGGAGATCATGTCAGGCCGGGACAACGTTTGCCGCACATTTTACGTCTTTGCCTCTTAACGCGAAACACAACTGGGTTGAGAAGTAATGGAAGTGATGGAAGATGAACAAATAACCAGGTTTCAGTTTTTTCTTCTTCTTTTTCTCGGGTTGGCCAAGAGGGATGGCCATCCCAGAAGGTAAATCCGTAGGATGATTGGACGGCCCGAAAACCTGCTGGGTGCCTTCAAAGATAGCCCCTGATTCACTTTGATGAGGCACTGGTCACTTTTCTTTCCGCACCTGTTGTTCTTTACACTGGGTCGGCTTTTCTTCAAAAACGTGGAGTTGTAATCCAACCAGTCAAAGGGCACCAGGGCCCTTTTCTCCAACACTTTGAAAGTGTGCTCCAATCGAGTCTTTATCGGGGGCTGAAGGGAAACCAAACGGGAGCTAAGGGAAACCAAAGAAACCAAAGGGAAAGCAGCCGTCCTACATTTGTTTGGGGTTGGTACCTTTTTGGGGTGTTGGACAAAAAGCAACAGGTTCAAGCAAGTCCCCACCTGCTTCGTAGCTTGCAACCGGACCTTGTCAGCGGTGCCACACCCTGCAAGAACATCGCTTGCACCGGGGTCGGGCAAAAGAAGTCTTTGAACGTTCAGACCCTGCCCTCCTGACAAATTGGAACATAAGGATGTTGTTCAATGTTTTTTTTGGCGCACACATACTTTTTCCATGTATCTAGGATTTGGTTTGAATATGTAAACACACATCCCTGTATATGAATATTCATACTATATGCATATGTATATCTATGTTCCCCACATCCAGTGAGGTTCTTGACTCCCAACGGTCAGGGCCTCTCGTAGGCCACTTCGGGGCCTTGGCCTTGGTGGAGCTCGATGCGGCGGTGGGCTCTGGTGGCAAACTGCCCAAAGAGGCCGTGCTGGCCATGCAGGAGGCCGACAGCCGAGGGGCCCTCGGCTCGATCGACGTGCCTCGATTTTTCCGCTTTGGGCGGGGGCGACCGGGTTTGGCATCACTTCGCTGGGCATGAACACTTGGAAAAGTCGCTTCTTTTCTTCTTGTTTTCTTTGTTTTATCTGATGTGGATTCTTTGTTTTTCGTTTTTTTCCCTATCAAGCAAGACATTCCGGTATTTTTTTGGTTTTCGACGAAGCACATTAATTCATCCAAACAGCCACACTTTCCATAGAGGCGACAAAAGGGCATGGTGGACCCGATGGGGTGTTTTTACATGCTCCAAGTGGGGGCGGATATCGCCCACCCCCTGCCCCCGCAAGTACATGCGCCCAACTGTGTATGTAATAAACATATACATAAAATTATATATATATATATATACACATGCTACTATTACTACCTTGTTTCCTCTTGAGTTGATGAGTTGCCCATCTAGTACTAGAACGAAGGATCTTTCAACTAGGATTAGGATCAAATAGGACTAAACAACCTACCTCGAATTTGCATAATACTTGAGTTTCAAGTACAATTTCCCTTGCATCTCCTGGATACTTTCTAATTATTTCAGCAGACTAGGATCAAACAAAATACAACCAACCAAGACCAGGACCAACCTAGGACTAGAACCAAGAACTAGGACTAGAACCAAGAACTAGGACTAGGACCAAACCCGGAATGTCATTCGCCCGGATTCACGATTCACTCCAGAAATTTTCACTGGAATCTTGATTTTGTATCCCCCCGAATGAAGCCGAAGGAAAACAAATGACATTTCGGTTACCCTGATTCAAGATTCAAGATTCCATTCCTTGTATTCGGTTTCATTGGGGGAGGGGGGGAGGGATGTTCAGATTGTCTTTGGAATTTGCCTTTTTCGATGCTTTCCCCAAAGCCCCAAAAAAGGGGGGAAACGCTACAATTTAATTCTGAAGAAAGGGGGGTCTTTGGTGTACCATACAAATATCTAGGCAGTATATGTATCAGTTGAGCAGAGTTGGCTTGTCCATAAACAAGGGTCCGCCTGGCCAAGGTTTCGGGGAGAGAGTGGGTTCCCCCTTTCGAGGTTCCCTGTGTTTCCCCTGGATGGTTCAACAACAGGATACCTCAAAAAACAAGACACGTCCGACTATGGCCCATTCGGCACCCTCAACGAGAAGCCTCCCTCAAACACGCCTCCGGTTTTCTCCCGATTTCACCCCTGAGCTTTCAGGCGGGGCTGGCGGTGCTGCGCCTTCCCGGGCGCGGGAAAGCGGAGGCGAAGCGGAGCTCAAAGCCTTCGGAGCCTTCGGAGGACGTGCTGCCAGGCCTTTGGTGAATTTGGGATCCAGATTTCGGCCTCCGCACTGAGAAGTGCAAGAAAGAGGGGCCACTGACAAGCTCTCTTTTTGCTTCCTGCGGCAGACACTCGACTAGCAAATCACAGTTCACAAAGATTCTCATATGGGGTTTCATCCGTCCCAACTGGCGCCTGGCGTGGATATTGTCCATCCACAGTCTGAGCGGTCCTTAGCCAAATTGGCCCAACCCTTGCCCACCGAGTGTCCTGCAATTCAAAATGCCAGGTTCAGCTTCTGGTCCATATTCACTGGACCTCAACACGTGCAACGATGGCAAAGCAGAGGTTCCAGACCACGAATTAGAAGAGCAGAACAGCCACGGAAATTCTATCATCATTACGCCACAGGCACCGACTTCTCCCCAGCCCAAAAAAGGCAATTCTTGACAACCTGACAGGCTCAAACTGCCTTTGCCCGAAGTCACAGTTACCCCGACTCTGGCTGTACCCAGAGTGACTGGGGCTCGCAGGCACCTGCGTGCAGCTGGTTTCGTTGCAGGGCGCGGGGGTCCCGCGCTGTCAGCGCCCGATCAGCGCCAAGTGGCGAAGCTTCCTGGAGGCGAGATGCGGTCGGGGAGTTGGGCCAGGCGGGTCAAGGGGGCGGGGTCCAATGAGTGACCTTGTTAGGCTGGTTGGCTGGTTGGTGGTTTGACTGGGATATGGTTCTGTTTTGTTTTTGCAATGTTTTGTAGGATCATTGTTGTTTACTATTATTAAGATTAGTAGTATTGTTGTGTTGTCTTTTGTCTTGTCTTGCTGGTGCTGTTGCTGTTGAATCGGGCTCTTGTCATCGGACAATTCGTAGATGGGAAAACCGATGTAAACCGGTGGACCTCTCCTGGTTGGTGTGCAGAGGGTGGATGGCTGGGGTCGGCTACTCATGAACACTAGTGACCTTGCTGGAGACGGCCCATTCTCAGACAACTTTGGAATCTTGTGAGTGTTGAGAGACTATTTTCTTCATTTATTTTTTCAAACCCTCTGATCGTCCACTTGGGGATCTCTCGTGCCATCTTTTATTTTGCAGGGTTCGCCAAAACCATCTTGCTTTTGATTGCGAGGCAGGAGTGGGTTCTCTGAGTAAGGTCTGAAGTGGGTTGGGTTTGGGTGGGGGGGATCAATATAGCGGGGACGAAGCCCGATTTGGGGATTTGAGACCCCGGGTGTTCGAGAGAGCTGCGCGGGGTCCAGGCCGAGCAGAAGCTGGCGGCGCAGCGTCGCCGGCCTGAGGAGGCCTGGTTTGGGTGTGGCGCCTGTCGAGGCTCGGCATACTTTTCATCAGAAAAAAAAACAAAGGAAAACCGACCTCTGTTTCCTAAATTCTCCCTTTTGCTCGCTTTGAACATCTCCCTATACAATGCGAGTGTGCGTGATGTTCAACGGGAAATATAGGAACCCCCTTTGGGCTTGTCTCGAAATAAGGGAATCCCTAGCTAGAATGGTGGAGATCCGATCTCCTCATGGTCTCCCTGTAAGCCAGCCCAAAAAAGGGGACCTCAAAAGAAGACACACCTATGAAATATAGGTGGAAATTTCAATGGGGGCCCATTTAGGCGGGGGATTCATGTCCACCAACCACTTCTCAGGTGGTTCCCATTGATTTTCATTACCATATGGGCATGTCTCTCCTTTTGAGGGCACACTGTTGTTTGCTTTTAAAGGAGACCAAAAAGGGACACCAATCGGTTTTCGGGGGTGCATTATTGCCACTGATATTTTGATGTGTCATTTAAATTCGCGGTCCCCTTAAACAAGAGACGCCCAAAAGGGTATGAGTCAAAATTTAATCACCAGGGGACTGCAGGTGTTAGTCCATGTTTCCATTTACCAGGGTTCCATTTTGGTACCGGTTCTTGGAGCCACAGCATAGGAAATATCACTTCCGGTGCCAACGGCCGAGGCGTCCTTCTGCGGGCTGAAGCTCCTGGTGCCCTCGGAGCAGCTGCGCCCGCGCAACGCCTCCGTGGCGCTGGTGCAGGCCGCCGGCCGAAGCGGCGTAGACGAACTGAAAAGGGGCTGGTCCTTTGTTTGGACGGAACCCCCCCCAAAGGGTGGCGTTTTTCTCGGGTTTCCCTTGAAGCACTTTTTGAACAGAGGGTACCGGACAAGCCCAAGCATTGGAAGCAAGGGAAGGAAACCGATTCTCTAGTTCACTATACAACCTATCTGGTGGGTATACAGGCCCCTCCTTGTCCCAATCTAACTTTTGCACTTTGTCCAGAGCCGCAGAAAAGGACGCTTCCCCAGAACAAACCACACCACTTGGCTCCGCTCCCCTAGTGTGTTCCGCGAAAAGCCCAAGAAAGGAGAAATAGACATTTGTTTCTTTCCTGCAAAACCAGCCCCCCCACCCCCGTTTGGGGGCTGAAGCTGGCTAACTTTCGCATTGGCCTCCCGGTTCGGCCGAAACGCGGCGTCTCAAGGCCGCCGTGGAGCTTCTGAAAAGCGGCGGCCGCGTGCTGGACCTCGGCTGCGGCTGCGGGGCGCTGCTGCTCGCCATCCGTCAAGGAACCGAAGGCGACTGGACCGAGTGGACCTGACCGGTGTCCCCTCCACAAATCCCAGCAACCAACCAAAAAAAACAACCAAAAAGGGGGACCTACTGTATAGCTAAAGATGGCATCAGGTGTCCTTTGGTTCCGCTGGCTTTTGGTTTGCCGCATGTGCCAGCAACAGGGCATCTATGGATCGGACCTGGCATGGGCCGCCCGGAAGCTTTGGGGTTCGTTTTCTGAACATTTCCTGCATCAGTCTCCGAGCTCTAGGGACTCACTGATTTTCCGATGTCTTCTTGGGGAAACAACTAATTTTGCACTGGTTCACCATGTCCAGCGACCAAACGGTAATGTGTGTGTGTGCGTATGTTGTGCATTTCATGCTTGTCATTTGTAGTGGGGACATGGGATGTGGGGACTCACACACCATATACCCGATCACCGGTCAAAGGAGCGTTTCCAACCATGAGGGGACTTTACCATTGGGCATAAGTACAGGTGCAAAGTGAGCCGCCCAAGGGAAAGGCAGAGTGTATGACTTGGTGCTGTAAAGTGGGGTTGGATTTTGATGGGTGCTCAAAAATACTGTAGGTCGCAACGTGTGTTTGAGCAACTACTTTCTGGCCCTCTTTCAAAGGGAACCAACCATGGGTGTAACTCATGGGTGTTAAGACGTTCAAACAGGGGCGACGCGCCCAACCATTTGGATACATCTAGATATACTCATGCAAATCATCTAGAATGTGTACCGGGACCCTTGCTTTGACCTTTGACCTAGATGCTTTCGATTTTGACCCACTAGGTGGTTCTACCAAATCCGCCGTTGGCTATTTTAGGTTCTACCGGGCTTCGTACGGGTTGTAGTCAGGGCAATATCAAGCTTTAAAAGCATGTGGAACCAAACGTCCATACATGTTAAACCCTGCTCACTTGAATGCTGTTTGGCCAAAATTTCCAACTTGGTTGCAACATGTTTGTTTTCCCGCCAGCCACAAGTCAACGGGTGAAAAGGGTTTGTCTTCGTTTGAGGACCCCCCAAAACAAGAAGAAGACACATTAAATAAGCATCAATATGGTGGTTTTCCATTTGGTTTCCCGTTAAAACCAGAAACAATGGGTGCCATCAACGAAAAGTCAACGGGTGAAGCGGGCGCTCACGCCCCGTTTCGAGGCTCGGTGTCCGGCACTGGGCTGGACCTGGATGAAGAGGCGGTCACCTGCTGCCGCGCCAACGCCGCGCGCCTGGGCCTCCAGGCGAGATTCAAAGCATTCGAATCGGGAAGTCCGAGGTTCAATGCAGTTCCTTGGGTTTCCCCGAAAAACAACGAGTCAACAAGTCAACAAGTCAACAAGTCAACAAGTCAACAAGTCAACAAGTCAACAAGTCAACAAGTCAACAAGTCAACAAGTCAACAAGTCAACAAGTCAACAACAAGTCAACAACAAGGCAACACAGAACAAACCAAGGCACGCAGAAGGCACACAACAGAACAAAAAGGACAAGATGCACAAAAGCGAAGATGGGCTCAGAAACAGTGCACGAGGTTGATTTCCCTTTGCCCTGTGGACAAACCTTTTGAAGCCGTTTAGCCCGTTTGCGATTGAGGCGGTTGCGATTTGCCCAGCGCCTCAAGTTTGGACAGGGACGTGCATTTCAGCTGCACGTCTGGGGGCCACTGGCACGTTTGGACAGAAACACCCTGTTTGAATTGAGGGATCTGAATTCCATCAAGGGCTCTCAAAGTTCTCTCCACAGCCAAGCCCAGGCTTCCATTCTTGGATTTCGCCCCAAGGCATACTTAAAGGACAGCCGCCAATTTGAGGTAATTTGAGAATCACCCAAAACGATCCTTGTGGCTGCTGCAGGTCAACACGGTTCTTGCCGACTTTGCGCAGCTGGATTCGCCGGAGGTCCGTCCGCAGCTTGAGGCGGAGGGATACGCAGCTTGGCGCATAGGTACATTTCAGCAATCCACTGGGTTCTCAAAGCTATTTTGGGTTGTCTTCCTTCAAATCACATTTTAGAGCGATATTTTGAGGGTGTCGTACCCTCTCACGGGCCAGAATCAAACTTTTGATGGGGAGGAAAGCTGAGGTGATTACAAACGGTTTTCCTCACCCATGAAGGTATCTGTCATAGGCATAGGGAACTTTGCCTTTGGGTCAGCGAGTATTCACAACTTTTCTGGAACACTGGCTTGAACAAATTTCCGAGTTTTGGAACAGCCTGGCAGTATTGGTCCCACGACACGCAGCCAAAGCTTCCAGTTTCCACTATAATAGGCAGCTAAGAGAAACCTCCGCTTCAAGACTAAAGGGACAATCCTTGGTTACCAGCGCTAGTGGTAACCGAGTTCCACTTCTAGACTTTGCATATTGACAGATGATCAAGGCTGCTAGGACAGTTTCCAATCTGGCGAATGTGCAGCAATGGCCCTTTGCACACTGCATTGTAGCTGAACACATGTCTCGTGCTATTGGGCTGAACATGACAGTCCCAAGCAGCACCTGGGCGAAGCATACTCATCAAGGGGTCCTGCTTCCTTTGGTGGTAGTGAGGCTCTATGGAAGCCACCAGCAATGTCAACCCCAGAACCTGATGGATTGGTGGGTGTTCCCCAAAAAGTGAAGCCTTCCCCATCCTTCCCCTAAAGAACAGAAACACCCCCGATTGATTATTCCCAGGTTCGCACTATTCCAGCCAAGGAAGCATCGCCAGCAGAGGGAAGCCGCAGATTTTGAGTATCCCCCCTCCTTTGGACCTCCCCCCCCCATTTTTCGAATGACCCCACACTGGCAAGGGTTTCCATTCATCCATGGCACAAGGATGTCATCGTCTGCAACCCTCCCTACCGCTCTACGGCACAGCACCTTGGATTCAACTTGACGCGTAGATGAAGCACTTGGCTTGTTGTCTGGGATAATTGAACTCCGCGAGTACCCTTAAAGTCGTGGCCCCCGACTTGCGCGAGAACAAGCGGTTGAGCTCCAAAAGACTAAGTCCTTCAGAAAAAAAGAACGCATCATTTGCAGAATGAAGGGTACAACTCTAGAAACTTAGACGAGTATGGGAAATGACTTTGTACCGACCCAAATTGTGTTCTGGTATATGGCTCTTTTTCCCAAGCGAGCAGTGTGACCACTTAACTTTAGAGCCTCCGGCTCAGTCCGCCGACATTGTCCTCTCCCTTTTCTCCTTCTTCCTCTCTTCCTTGTCTCCCTTGTGTGTTCTGTCGTCCTCTCTCCCTCCCTCTGCTCCCATCCTCCCCATCCCCCCAAGCCTCTCTCTCCCCACTCTCCCTCTCTCGTATGTATGCATGCATGTACATATGTATGTATGTATGTATGTATGTATGTATGTATGTATGTATGTATGTATGTATGTATGTATGTATGTATGTATGTATGTATGTATGTATGTATGTATGTATGTATGTATGTATGTATGTATGTATGTATGTATGTATGTATGTATGTATGTATGTATGTATGTATGTATGTATGTATGTATGTATGTATGTATGTATGTATGTATGTATGTATGTATGTATGTATGTATGTATGTATGTATGTATGTATGTATGTATGTATGTATGTATGTATGTATGTATGTATGTATGTATGTATGTATGTATGTATGTATGTATGTATGTATGTAATGTAATGTAATGTAATGTAATGTATGTATGTATGTATGTATGTATGTATGTATGTATGTATGTATGTATGTATGTATGTATGTATGTATGTATGTAATGTATGTAATGTATGTATGTATGTATGTATGTATGTATGTATGTATGTATGTATGTATGTATGTATGTATGTATGTATGTATGTATGTATGTATGTATGTATGTATGTATGTATGTATGTATGTATGTATGTATGTATGTATGTATGTATGTATGTATGTATGTATGTATGTATGTATGTATGTATGTATGTGTATGTATGTATGTATGTATGTATGTATGTATGTATGTATGTATGTATGTATGTATGTATGTATGTATGTATGTATGTATGTATGTATGTATGTATGTATGTATGTATGTATGTATGTATGTATGTATGTATGTATGTATGTATGTATGTATGTATGTATGTATGTATGTATGTATGTATGTATGTATGTATGTATGTATGTATGTATGTATGTATGTATGTATGTATGTATGTATGTATGTATGTATGTATGTATGTATGTATGTATGTATGTATGTATGTATGTATGTATGTATGTATGTATGTATGTATGTATGTATGTATGTATGTATGTATGTATGTAATGTATGTATGTATGTATGTATGTAATGTATGTATGTATGTATGTATGTATGTATGTATGTATGTATGTATGTATGTATGTATGTATGTATGTATGTATGTATAATGTATGTATGTATGTATGTATGTATGTATGTATGTATGTATGTATGTATGTATGTATGTATGTATGTATGTATGTATGTATGTATGTATGTATGTATGTATGTATGTATGTATGTATGTATGTATGTATGTATGTATGTATGTATGTATGTATGTATGTATGTATGTATGTATGTATGTATGTATGTATGTATGTATGTATGTATGTATGTATGTATGTATGTATGTATGTGTATGTATGTATGTATGTATGTATGTATGTATGTATGTATGTATGTATGTATGTATGTATGTATGTATGTATGTATGTATGTATGTATGTATGTATGTATGTAATGTAATGTAATGTAATGTAATGTAATGTAATGTAATGTAATGTATGTAATGTATGTATGTATGTATGTATGTATGTATGTATGTATGTATGTATGTATGTATGTATGTATGTATGTATGTATGTATGTATGTATGTATGTAATGTATGTATGTATGTATGTATGTATGTATGTATGTATGTATGTATGTATGTATGTATGTATGTATGTATGTATGTATGTATGTATGTATGTATGTAATGTAATGTAATGTATGTATGTATGTATGTATGTATGTATGTATGTATGTATGTATGTATGTATGTATGTATGTATGTATGTATGTATGTATGTATGTATGTATGTATGTATGTATGTATGTATGTATGTATGTATGTATGTATGTATGTATGTATGTATGTATGTATGTATGTATGTATGTATGTATGTATGTATGTATGTATGTATGTATGTATGTGTATGTATGTATGTATGTATGTATGTATGTATGTATGTATGTATGTATGTATGTATGTATGTATGTAATGTATGTATGTATGTATGTATGTATGTATGTAATGTATGTATGTATGTATGTATGTATGTATGTATGTATGTATGTATGTATGTATGTATGTATGTATGTAATGTAATGTAATGTAATGTAATGTAATGTAATGTAATGTAATGTAATGTAATGTAATGTAATGTAATGTAATGTATGTATGTATGTAATGTAATGTAATGTAATGTAATGTAATGTAATGTAATGTAATGTAATGTATGTATGTATGTATGTATGTATGTATGTATGTAATGTAATGTATGTATGTATGTATGTATGTATGTATGTATGTATGTATGTAATGCATGTATGTATGTATGTATGTATGTAATGTAATGTATGTATGTATGTATGTAATGTATGTATGTATGTATGTATGTATGTATGTATGTATGTATGTATGTATGTATGTATGTATGTATGTATGTATGTATGTATGTATGTATGTATGTATGTATGTATGTATGTATGTATGTATGTAATGTATGTATGTATGTATGTATGTATGTATGTATGTATGTATGTATGTATGTATGTATGTATGTATGTATGTATATGTAATGTATGTATGTAATGTATGTAATGTATGTATGTATGTATGTATGTATGTATGTATGTATGTATGTATGTATGTATGTATGTATGTATGTATGTATGTATGTATGTATGTATGTATGTATGTATGTATGTATGTATGTATGTATGTATGTATGTATGTATGTATGTATGTATGTAATGTATGTATGTATGTATGTATGTATGTATGTATGTATGTATGTATGTATGTATGTATGTATGTATGTATGTATGTATGTATGTATGTATGTATGTATGTATGTATGTATGTATGTATGTAATGTATGTATGTATGTATGTATGTATGTATGTATGTATGTATGTATGTCTGTAAGCATGCATGTATGTATGTATGTATGCATGTATGTATGTATGCATGTATGCATGTATGTGAGTATGTAAGTAAGTAAGTAAGTAAGTAAGTAAGTAAGTAAGCAAGCAAGTAAGTAAGTAAGTAAGTAAGTAAGTGTAATGCATGTAATGTATGTACGTATGTATGTATGTGTGCATGCATGCATGCATGCATGCATGCTCATACATGTATGCATGTATGTATGTAATGTATGTATGTATGTAATGTCATGTCATGTAATGTCATGTAATGTAATGTAATGTAATGTACTGTAATGTATGTATGTATGTATGTATCCTTGCACTTCCCCTTTGCTCCCCAGTATTTCCCGCAAAAAAAACACGGTTTTTCCAGCGTTTTCGCAAAGAGGACGTCCAAAAACATTGAGTTTTTCCAGATTTTCGGCAAAAGGATGCAGGAAGCCCAAGCCAGCAAAAAAGCCGGCAGGGGGAATCGAGCCTGGGACCCCTGTTTTGCGACACCGGCTCCCCGAAGACTACGTTTAGTGGAACGTCATCAAATTGCCGCGCGGTACGTGGGGGACCCCCCCCCCCCTCCCCCCCCAAAAACCTACGTAATAGACGTCGGGCGGGGGGGGGTTAGGGGGGGGGTTATCCTCTATCCTCTAGTAAGTATCCGACACGCCGAGCAATGTCGGCGGATTAATCTGTTCCTGGATAAAAGGGCGCCCTCCAATTCCTTTAGGGTCCTCTAGATTTAGGGGTCCAATTCTAGGTGAGATGTTACTCTTTCAAGGGAACCATCCGATTAGTACTTGGCAGGGTTAACAGTACAGTGGCCGACGGCGGATCAGTTCTTTCTCGTTCCCGCGTTTTCAAGGCGCGCGATCAACGTCGCAGATCTGCACACTTGTCTTAAAGGGGTATAAAAGACAACAGTACCACAAGTGGCACATTGCCCGTTCTCGGTTTTCTGGTCTCGCCTGAAGGCCGCGGATTCCAATGGTTGGGACACCCAAAGCAGTGGGTTGCCTGCAGCTTTCCATGTGTTGCCCAAAGGAGCTGGCAAAGAAGTTCATACCGAACCAATTTTCCTTTTGGGAGAGTTTTTAACATTGCTAGGCTGAACCAACCTTTTCCAGCTTTTTGCCCTTTTGGTTCTTCATCTTCTTGCCTGCAAAAAGCTCACTTTCGGGAGTCTAGGTCTGTTCCCACGTGAAAAGCGGGGGTTGCTGCCATCCGAGGCAGGAGGCGTACGATGCCTCGGTGGGCAGCTTCGGGGGGTACGCGGAGCACCTCGGCGACGGCTGCGCAACTCAACTTTTCACGTTTTGGGTTGCAAAGCACTTGTTCTTATCTTTGGGGGGGTATGCACTCAAGCACTCTCTCAGTTTTGGTTTCGTCAGAACCTGGGGTAGGGGACAGTCCCCACGAGACAGTGGTGCAGATATCCGTCCTGTGACTCTTTACATCATTTTGAGCAGACTCGTTTAGTACCAGGGTTTGATCGTGACTCAAATGACTGTGGCTCCCCCAAAATAAGGAATGCTTCTGACAATGGATCGTCGGGCTGAAAGAGCTTCAGGCATGGAGCTCTGTCCGTTCAATTCGGACCTGGGTTTCGGAAAGAGGTTCCACTCAGAAACACCTTTCTCATAACCAGTTAAGCTCCATCCAATCCATTGCCTGACTGAAGGCAACACAACCTAAAGGTGCCATTCATGTTTTGGGTGGTCGTAAAGCTGAGGGGGCCTCCATATATTTCTGCTTTCCTAACCTGCTCCTCGGTGTGGCCAAAAAGTGTACCCTGACTTGCGGAATTGAGGTCTTTCTTTGGAGGAAGCCAGGGGGAGGGGGTTGAATCCTATGATTTGAATCGGGTGGGACGTCCATGGTCGGCTCCACACGGTTTGCCAAGTCCACAAGCTTCGGCGGGAAGCTTTGCCCTACTTTGCCACAAGGGTGGACGGGTCAAGCTATGTTTTGGAGGTTTTTTCTAGTTGAACAGCAAGTCACCAAAGCGAAGCAAACAAAGACCCCATGACGTCCCCAAGCTGCTGTGAAAAGACCACGTTCACTCAGCCCAACCAGGCTTGTCCATTTGCCACTTCTGTTGGGGCCTGGAATTGCCACTTTTCGTGGTAGCTTCATTTTGCTTAGGTTCATCTTTCTACCACAAGCCCTGAGCTGGCGGCCACTGGAGTTGGCCCAATACATGTCTTTTGTGGGGGCCCTTCCCCCCCTTCCCCACATAAATGAATTATAGGGCATATCGAGGCTGGACAATGAAGGATCATGCTTTGTCTGAAATGGGTTTGCTTGTTTTTGAGCTTTCCCTTCCTTGTTCGGGGTCCAAAACCCTTTTTTGACACATGCCCAAATCAAGCAAAGGGCACCCGACTAGCTGCCTGTAGTATTCGCCCTCTGGCAGACACCCAGAACTCCTGGATGGAAACTGCGCACCCACTCCACTCTGTGTGCGTGTTTAGGCCCTACATTTTTTCTACCTTGCAACCCCATTCTCTGTATTCGGGATCCTGTATTTGGGAGGGGGGCCTGGCTGAAGAGGCACAGCAAGACTTTGGTGGCCGGCGAGACGGGCCTTGAGATGTACCAGGCGCGCGGTAGCCCCAGCGACGGCCCAGCTGAAAAGCCGTTGGGGAACGGTTTTTGTGCAGTTTATGCAAAAGATCCAAGACCTAAAGTGCATCAGTGTCCACAAGATGAGGCCCCCCGCGTCGGTGACATTGGCTGAGGCAACCAGTTACCCAGTTCGAGAGCAAGTCGGGTCGTGTTGGTCTGGGTTTTGAAGGCAACCAGCTTCTCGGTTTCCGCCTACGTGGAGGAAGCCGAAAGGTTGGACGGCAGCGCGTTTAAGGGGTTTTGGAGTGGGCCCTTTCGGGCCCCGAGTCGAGCACAGGTGCGGCGAAAGGGTGGCGGCAACTCGTTTTGTTTTTTCGTTTTTGATGCACTGATGTTCAAAGAGAGCTTGCTCGAAGGAGCTTCCGTGCCCTTAGAGCCAGTATCAGTGTAGTGTCCAACGTCTGCCCTTGGAGCCACAATCCAGCCTGAGCAACGCAGGGTGGGCGTGGCTGGAAGAAATTTGGCACTTAGAGGAACCATGGTGGGCACGACAAACCAGCGGACAGGAGAGGTAAGCTGTAAGTTTTAAAGACTAACGGGCCAAAATCACACATCTTGTTGGTTGGGGAGCAACAGCAAAGCTGATGCTTTTCACCAACCGCTAGCTGGGGTTTGATGGGCCGGAGGTGCCTTTGCCCATCCAAGGCATTCACATGGAACCCATTTGGGGCATGTGGGAAATCAGGTTTTAGAGCCACTTTCCGGAAGGGAATCCCCTCTACAATGAGAAAGTAGTCATGGGGATTGCCAATGTCAGTATCACAGAAAAGCAGATGTCCCGCCGCCAAGCATGACTTGGGGTAATGTGTCGGCCATGTTCCTCGCCAGGCCATCTCTTCTTGTCTCGCGACGCTTTGCTGCACTTTCTTAGTGCCTGGCCGGGACCGAAAGTGGCCCGGCCCACCTGAGTTGTTGGACTTGGATCATTTTTGGGAGACAATGTTTTTCTGGTGGTAAACAACAAGTTCAGATTTGTTTGGCCAGTCCACTCAGGAAGTCACTTCTGGCCACAATCCCCGCCAACAAAATGATGAAGAGTAGTCGGGGGCAGTCCCAAACATAGATAGGTGCCGGATCCGCCCTCTTGATTCTGTACCGTACCACGGGTTTTGGGTAGACCTTTTCAATACCAGGTTTTGACTATGACCCAAATCATCTGGCTTTGCCTGGCTTTTTGTCCTACACCTCCCCACCAAAATAAGGCCAAGTCGCAACCTTCTACTGCTACTGGCTGCTGCTGCTACTGCGACTACTGCTGTGCTACTGCCACTGCTACTTCCACTGCCACTGCCACTGCTACTGCCACTGTGCTACTACTGGTGCTGCCACTGCCACTGCTACTGACACTGCTACTGCTACAACAAGGCCAACCAAAGTCTTGACTGTTGGGCGAAGGGGTCAGGGGCTAAACAAATTACACACATGTTGTTCTGATGATCATGACTTTACAGTCCCCCAAACCCATAGGCTCTTGCTCGCCTCGGCCAGATTCAATTAGTTGGCTTTGAAGTACTGTGTTTTCGGTTTGCCTTGAAGTTGACGTGCCGTATGCATGAGCTCGTTTCCAAAATGTATGTTGGGCGCATAAGGGCCGGTCCAGGGGCCAGCTAGGGGGGCGGAGTTGCGCCTGGGCCAAGAGCGGGTTGGGGGCTACTACCGCCCAAAAGGGGGGGTGCTTCAGGGCAGTTGGAGGCAGCTGCAGCATGGATTTGGCTCTGAGTGCAAATCTTGCATGTTGGAACAATTGCTTGATCCTACATGGTTGGCTTAAGTACAAGGCTGCTTTGACTTTTCTCAGTAGCCATGCCGGAAACTAGCCTGCTGACGGTGCACGCAAGAATCACCTTGCTGGATGGCGCGCCAGACGCTGACTTCGCCATTTTCACGCCGTTCAACACGCGGTTTGCCAAGCAGCTCAAGTTCAACAACTTCCTGCTGCAGCCCGATGGCAGCTTCAAGTCGGTTGAGGTCACGGGGCCGCCGAGTTTTGATGCATAGGCGTCCCCTTGGCGGGTGTTTGCTTTGTTGGCTGCTGACGATCACAGCCGCTGGAGATGCGGAGTTTGTGACGCAGAGCGCTTTGGACGAGTACTTCAACTTCGTGGTGAGCTACAGAGGTTTGGCATCTTTTTTGCTTGGATCAAGCAAGAAGCCCAGGTCCCTCAAAGAGTTTTCCCGTCCTTTCGGCCAGACCAGCCTTGGGATTATGTCTCCAGAGCAGCTGCCAACGGTTCAAGATACTGGGACAGGCACGTCCGAGAACCTGCTGCAGGTTCTTGGCAAAAACCAGACGGGAGGGCAGCCACGGATGCTGCGCAATTTGTGCTTATGGCCCCCGGCGCCAAATAAGCCATTCTGGGAAGAGGGGCCAAGACAAACTTGCCAGATTGAAAACGGAGCTTGACACTCACAGCAAGAAAGGCCAAGGAGGGGCTCTGGTGCACGGCTTGGGATCTCGTGACGGTTCGTGCTGTCCGCGCCCGCCTCCCTCACGGAACAGGAAGTGGTGGCCATCGTTGAGCGCGCAGCAGCCTTGATGAGGAAGGGGAATAGCGGTTCGGGCAGCGCGCATTCCGTGTGACCTCTGATGGTCGGCAGTCGCCTGAGGCAGCTGCTGGAAGTGCGCGCGGCCGGGTCAGCTTTAGTCGCGGTCGAGCGCCACACCACCAAGAAGGTGCAGACCGTCACCAGGGTGGGCTTGAGCGGCCCCACGCTACGGAAGAGCAATACAAAGTGGCAAGCTATGCTCAGCGCAAAGGTGTGAAACCTGAGGGGCGGGGCGGAGTCGCACTTTGCGGGCACTGCTCAAAATCGGCCGTTGAGAAGCCCAACAGTAAACGGACTTCAAGAGGATCAACCCGTTTTGAGGTTCCCATTTCAGACCTAGGCGCGACCTAATGGCGGCGCAGAAGCGTCTCCTGGCGCCGCCCAAGCCTGTACTCAGCCTGGCAGGCAGTGGGTTTCTTGGGGAGGGGAAGGCGTCATTGAAGTTTCTCCTTGGCCCTCCCTTGTTGTCCATTGATTTCTCTCGGTTTCCCTCGCTTTCCCTTGGCTGCCCTGATTTCTGGTTTTGCATTGTTTTTGTTTGGTTTGCTTGGTTTTCCATGGGGCTTCTTTGGTTTCCCTTGGCTTCCCTTAGCTTCCCTTGGCTTCCCTTGGCTTTTCTTGTTTTTTTTGGCTTTCCTTGGCTTCTCTTTGCCTTGGCTTTCCCTTGTGGTTTCCTTTCGAAATCTGCGCTTTTGCGCGAGGCTCGCTGATCTTTCAGGTGGAGGCTGGCAGCCACGGCAGGCGCCGGCGAGTTGGCTTCCTCCCAAACGTGCCGCTGTTTTCAATGGGGCTTCCACCAGTAATGCATCAACTTAATGGGAACCCAGCGGATGATGCATCGATTTTGCCAACAATCCATTGTGTATATATATATATATGGCAGATGCATGATGGCAACTACAGAACCAGATTTTAAGACTGGTTTGGGGGTTGGCCCACTTATGTGTGGTTGTTGTCTTGTTGAGGGGAGAGATTTAACACGAGGTTCCCTGTAGCTTGTAAGGATGGCATGTCTGGAAAAAGATAGCAGCGTGAAAGGCAGTTCTAATCTACTAATAGTTTACCCCCATCATGACGAAAATCTGGTTTTGAAGTGCTGCACTCTAAGTACTGAGGCGCTTGTAGCACGTTTGGGTACCCTTTTTTGTTGGTTTTGGAGGATAACCAAACAACCACCAATTTGGGGAGTCCAACCTCACCCATGTTTTTATCCCAACTTCGAGCTGTTCCGCCCCCCAAGTTGCTTTCTTTAGGCGCGGCGGCATGGCAGGGAAGGTGGCGGCGGCGGTGCAGGCTGCGTCCCAGGCGCGCCGCTGAACCCGCGACGCCGCAGGATTTGTCGCGTTTCTGCGTAAAGCCGAGAGGGTGTGTGCCCAACTTCGGGTTCCGGAATGGATTTTTGGTGTTCGTTTGGTTTCCCAAAATGAACCATCAACCGTCACCACGCCAAGCACGACCCCAGCGGCCACAAGCCCAACTACGACGACCACCACCACCACACCAAGCACGACCACGGTGACCACAGCCACAACCACCAGAGGGTAACAAGCGGTTGTTTCACAATTTTTCCAAGCGCTGGAAGGAAGAAGGGCTCATTGGAAAGTGATCCAGTGCACTTGGTGCAAGTAAGCCAGCCTGCCACCGATCTGCAAGCAGCTGAGAATGTTGTCACCACCAAAGGTGGATATTCTACGGAATGTGGCACGCTGCAAAGTGTGGACCGTTGTTTTACCCCAAAAGAACAAGCAAAGCAAACAAAGCTCCCTGCGCTGGCCGCTTGAGTTGCTTAAAACGGCAATCCCACAATGAAGAGGTGATTGGCGTCCTCTTTTAAACATTCAGCGCCTTTCAGAAAGGCTTTTTGGATGGGGGTAATTTCGGTTGTGTGTGCTGAGAAGTGCTGAGAAGTGCTAGCAGCGACGGAATCAAATTTGTTTTTCTTGCCAAGCTGCCATGCGCAAGCTACATTTGTGCTCCGAGCGGCAAAGGGCTGTTCCTTCAGCAGGGCGGGCTTCTGATTTTCTTGTCCTCTTTGTGTCGCCGGCTTCTTTTCTCTGTGTGTTGGAGCGTGGGGAGGGGGCAGGCTGTGTTGGACTGTGGGGGTTGAATGGGGGAGTATGAATGATTCAAGCTGAACATCTGAAAAAACAAAACCTGAAGGCACGCTACTCCTTTTCTTTGAACGTCGTTTGAAACCCCTCCCCTGGGAACTTCCCATTGAATCGTTGAACCCCTGTGTTCTTGTCTCAGAGCAGGGGGACTCATCCCTACCTTGCCTACATCAAACACTCCAGAAGTCTTTTTGCCAGGATCGAATGTACAGGGGTGTCCCGTCCTTTGAGAGCCCGTTCCACTTTTCCTCAGGTGTTTGGCAAGGTTTGTTTGATTTCCCTCATAAGAGGACCTGCCCTACAACAGTCCCAGCGGCTTGTTGTCAGTGCGTTGCCTGCAAGGAAGGGAGCAGCATGATGCCTAGAGCCTGAAGCTTCGTGATTCAGAGCACGAGTAATTCCACCACGCCGTGTGGGATTCCTTGACTAGAGGAGCAAGAAATCAAAAGGCCCCAACAACCCTTTTCGGATTCCGTTTTAAACTGCCTCAACCTATTCTTGATAGGGGCTTTGACCCTGCAAGCCTTGCATTGAAGCCGCCATCCATTAGCTCGCCTCACATCCGCAGAGGCAGGCAAAGGCCGGCAGACAGGGCCAGCCGAACAGGCAGACGGGCTCCCTGCGCTTTTTGAAGTGTCCACAAAACCACTGTCGTCAGCACAAATGCAGTTTGGAGTGTTGAGTTCTCCGCGAGGGCATGCTGTCCTTTCAGCGCATCATCGAAGATGAGAACAAGATGGCGCCAGCCTAAGAGCCCGACTCGAGAAAAGAGTCCACCCCTTTCTGGATAGTTTTACAAGCCCCAAACCAGCAGTCCAGCCAAGAGGGGTCGATTGCTGCCCGGACAAGCCTTTGCTTCGCCAGGAGCGTGGTATCCTCCTGAAGTGGTCCTTCACCTGAGAGCGCTGACGTCCAACGTTGCCCTTTGGCCACGCGAACGCGTGACGATTTCCTCGCTGTGGGTCCTGACTGCAAGGCTTGGCGCGCGGCGAGACGTCAGCGCTAAAAGGCCCGAACGAGCAGGCGGATGGAGCTGTGCAAGGACTTGGATGTGCGGCGCGCGGAGCAAAAGATTGGGGGTGCCGGGTGAGTGGAATCGTATGCGGTTTCACTTGGTTCTCACACTTGTGGGGAACCGTTTCTCAAAATGGTGGGCCCTTTTGAAGATTTAAAGGGATGGGTCTTAACCCTTTGCAAATGCTTCATGTTATCACTGACACGTGCATGGCAAGTTTGGGACTTTGAACTCCGCCCCGAGCAGTCTAAGGGCAAATAATTCAAAGGGGAAGCGGGGTATTTGCTGCATCATTCAGCTTCGAAAGGCTAACCGCCCACGCCCCGGATGGACAAAGGTCTTGCACTGTTTGGGATGGAAGGCTGACTACCGGAATATACCACCACTAACGGGTGCAGGATGTTGTCCATCCCCACTAGGTTCATATGGGTATGTGTCGTCGTATGTGACTGTGTCCAAACAGGGGCACCCCGCCCATCACCCCCCCCCCCCAAAAAAAAAAACACAAAAAACACAAGAAAAATAAGAGGTTTTCCTTCGGCAGGTGTTTCCTTGAAACCAACCTCAGACGGGGACCGGGCTTCAAACAAACAAGCAAACAAACAAACAAGCAAGCAAGCAAGCAAGCCAAGCCAAGCCAAGCCAAGCCAAGCCAAGCCAAGCCAAGCCAAGCCAAGCCAAGCCAAGCCAAGCCAAGCCAAGCCAAGCCAAGCCAAGCCAAGCCACGCAAGCACAAACAGAAAGCACAAGCACAAGCACAAGCACACGCGCAAGCACAAGAACATGCACAAACGCAACCACACACGCACACAACACACGCACACACGCACATATTTCCCAACTTGCTCCAACCCTATGAATGCCGGAATCAACCACCAGCTGGTGCCAAGCTTTCGTCCATTTGACCCAGATGGCTCACATGTGCCGGACGGCTTGACTGCAAGACTTGCAGCACTGGCTCCAGCCGTAGCACTGGCCCAGATCTCGTAGATTGCAGGAGCGATTTTTGGACTTGGGATGGGACGTATGCAGTTTTTGTTTTCCGCCCGGTCTTTGGGTCGGGGTTTGTTTGCTTCTTCTTTCCGCTTGCGATTTCTTTGCTGGTAGGTGCTTCTGTTTCTTTTCTTCTTCTTTTTGCCTGTGGTTCTTTATGTTTTTTGTTTTAGCATATTTTTCCCAGTTTGCATCTCTTGGTTTTATGTGTTTGGGTGCGTTCTTTTCTGAAGGCAAAGCCTGCATGGAACCTGAGTGGGGTTCCTAGCAGGAATATCTTCTCCATGTTGCGCAGTAGGTGCCATTTTTGGGGGTTACACTCACCCATGTTTGTTGAACAGAACCCCGATATTCTTTACAGGGTAAACCAAAAGGAGGTTGTGAACAAAACAATGTTGGCTCAAGCATGTGGGTGTGACTTTTTTTGCGATGAACCCCTCAATCCATAGGATTCTTTTTGCTTTCCCTTTAAAACCATCCAAATGGGTACTCTCCAAAAAAGACAGACCCGGGTGACCCAGGTTTAAACAGGGGGGGCCCAATGGTCTCCCCTTCTCAAAGGTACCAACTTGCGCGCCTGGGTTCTTGAACGGCTTCCAGCTCGTTTGAATCGACGTCACGTGCGTTCGAAGGGACACTTCCACCCTGAAGACCCTGAAAACAGTTCGGCATTCTTTGGCTGCCCCACCCGATGGCTTCGTGTTGCTCTTAGCGTGACCGTCTGACCGGGGCAACGGGGTTCCTGCTTTCGACACATGCATTCCCATATACCAAAAAATATCCAGCAGGAAGGTGTTGGAAAATTATCATGTACCAAACTGAGTTGGACCCCTCCAAATGCTTTCCTGCAGTGCTTGTAACAATCGATGCGCGGCTCTGGGCGGTGGCCAGGCATCATGGTGCACGAAGATGAAATTGTGGCTGATGTCATCAGCAGGATCCAGGCCGGGCGCTCGGCTTTGCGCCAACTTTCGACGACGCAGGAGCCGCTCGCCCATTTCCCACCATGGAATTTGACTGGGGGTTCTGGCTCGTTTCAAAGAGGACCCAAGAGATGACCACGCCATGTTGAACGTTGCGTCCTTTTGAGGCACACTGATTTGAGCAGCAGACCAAATTATTGGTCTATTGTTCGGTTGAAGAGGCTGGGCGGCCACCCAGATTTTCAGCAGGGGGAATAAGACCACTCCGAATTGTTCATGTTCTCCGTGGGGAAGCAAGCGAGCAGTACTCCATGCTCTTATTGGCCATGTAGGCGGTTCTACCACCTGGCTTCATATGCTTGTCCGGGGCTCTCGCACCATGGAACCAACTTCCTTTTGTATGGCTTGAAAGCGAGGCTCCAAAAGGCTCCTAGTTTTTTTTTTCTTTTTCGGCGGGCTCCTCAGCAGCGACCATGGGACTATGAAGTCAATTCGCCAATCCTTGGTTTTGGGCGGGTTGCTGGCTCAGTTGTGTTTGGGGACCTTCTTTTGGTTTCCACAAACATGAGACGAAAACACATGCTTCTCTCCATTGCAGAGTTTTGGGGATCCCTTTTAGGATAGTGTTTCAAGTGAAGCCACAATGCCAGTTTGGGGGTCCCTGGTTTTTGGCAGCAAATATGTTGCGCAAGTTACGAATCAGGAGTTTGCCAGTTTTTATTTGCCCTTTACTCACTTCCCAGCGTTGTATCGCTGAATATGGATGTGTCTCGCTGGTTGGATTCCGTGCGGCTTCCGTTTCATGGAGACGAATTTCTGTTGACTCCCAACATCCAATTCAAACCCATCTTCTTCCTGGGTTTCACGGGGATGATGAGGACCCATAGACGTGCACAATCTCAATTGTGTGGCTCACCGGACAGCAATGAAACTTGCACGCCTAGATGTGCCATGGTGATAGCTCTCTACTTGGCGTCCTGAGTGAACGAGCTCCCAGATTTCTTTGGGGATCCCTAGATACGAGGGGGAATAGATCGATTCACGCCCGAAGCCGTCACCCGAACCATGTGATCCAGATCTCTAGGAGGCATGCCCCCGACTGTAATCAGGTGATTACCCTCTTGCGCAGACCCTCGGGGCAGTCTGTGCACCATGTTGGTGAGGGAAGCTCAAGAAGGTCACCTGACCATTCCTCAATAGAGACATATTGCTGGGTTGGGCCCCTATCGGTTTTCTAAGTCGTGCATCGTTTTCGGGTTGGGCCCCTTTTGGGACTATGGTGGTGGGAATATTGTCGGGTATTCGGAATCCTGAGTCAGCATTTTACAGCAACAGCTGGCCAATCAGGTCTACGCCTACCCACGGCGGATTCGCATGAAGGAGTTCTTCAATGACTTCGACCCGCTGAGGATCGATCCATCGAGTCGGAATTGGCTGATCCATGGGGTACACGACAATCAACCCATTGGGCCTGTCCATCCTTTCCACAAGCTCAGTCTTTTGGGGGGTGCGAATGCAGATCCTTGGCCTGATCCAATTCTTTCAGGTTTTGGAGTTGTAAGAATGCGGGTCGTGAAGTTTACCGTTTTGGACATGTCAAGTCTATGATCAATTTGGGGGACATGGGAGTCCCTGAAACTCATGTAGAGCGAGTAGGCACACATGAGGCTTCTGACCCCCCCCCAGACACAGGAGGGTAGCTTGCCTGTGATGCATGGCCAATTTCAGCAGCCCCTTGACCCCTTGGTCAACAGCAAGGTGGTTTGAATTTGGACTTGGGCCCCCGTGAAGCCAAATCGAAAGGGGACGTCACCGATTCAAACCTTCGGCAAGCTTGTGGACAGGGATAGAAAATGAAGATACCGGAATGTCATCTACCAGATGAAGAAACCACCATCGGTTTGATCAAGCTATGTGTGTTGTCAATAAGCATTCGATTGGTCAGTGCCACGGTCAGCATCCAACCTGACAGCAGGGTGCTCATTGAATCCGAAGAAAGAACACCGAGGAAGAGCAATCATGCGCTGATTCAGAGCCAGGGGAGCCATTGCAGCCCTATTGTGGCAGTTTATGCCCTCTTCCAGAACCATTCTCCCCCAGCTTTGGCTCTGAATCAGTGCGGAGGCTGCTCTTTGGTTGGACCTACCTGAGCAACTTTTTGCTCAGCATGCGTGTGTCCTTTTCGAGGGTATCCTAAAAAAGGTTAGGGTACCGGTTTTTAACTGCCAGCAGAAACAGGATTTGCTCTGTCCTGAAAGATCAACGCCCACGAGACTAGGACATTGGAGTGGTTCTTTGGTTTCCTTTGACGTAGCGCTTTGTGTTTCTTCCGGGAAGCTAAAAGGAAAACCTACCCGTGTTGAACCTAGAAAAGACCAGCCACCCATTTTTCGTTCCCACCGAAACTCGTTTCCACGGTCGCACTCTTTCCACGCCTTCAGCGGTCAGGCATGGCCGCTGCACCGTCATCAACTTTGCCAGGGCTTTGGATACGCCGCTCGGTTCTGGGAAAGGAGCGAAAGCGCGTGATTTGGTCACGCAAAAGTTCAGGCTTTGGACTCATTGCTCTTTTTTCTTTTCTTGTTTTTCTGTGTTTTCATAAGAACCTTGGATGTCCATGAACCCTGCAGGTGCATTTTACAGCATCGAGAAGGGTTTCTACCATGAGCCATTCACCTACTTAGAAATCCATCCTACATTGTGTTTCAACCTTGTATCGTCCTGCATTTTCTTATCAACACAGGGTGAGAAAGGTGGTTGGATCGCCCGAGTCCAAGCCAAGGCTGGGTATGTCCGGCCTCTCCGAGGAGGAGGCGGAGACAAAAACGCAAGGAACGCGTGACGCGCGGAGCGGGAACAATTCCACATGTCTGGGCAAATTAGCAAATTAGCACAGCGGTCCCTTGTTTTTCCCAGCATACCCTTGCTCTCATGGGAAGCCAAAGGACCACCGAAATCCACTTTGGCCACATGGCCACATGGCCACACAAAAGTCAATTTTTAGCCTCAGATCGGCCAGATCGACGCTTCAGGTGGACTTTCTGGCAGAGCACTTCACGGAGCACGGCCCCCGTGTGGCACCTCCCCAGGCGGGTTGGGCAAGTGAGGTTAGTAAGGGACAGTCTCAGCCATAAAT